CGGGCCAGGCGGGGGGGAGGGACCCCCCGCCCCGAGTGCACAAATTTTTGTGCACCGGGCCGCTAGTACACACACACACACACACACACACACACACACACGTAAGCTATTTATATATGGAGATATATATACAGTATGGGGATATATATATATAAATCTATATACACATATATCCAGGCATACACAAAGATTTATATTTATTTATATATATAGAAAAAAAAGTTTATTCTGATACCTCTGATTCTACTCTAACACCACAGGATTCATTCTGTTCTCGCCCCTTACTTGTAATTTCTTTCTTTGACAGCAAGAAATCTGGTTTCCATATTCTACAAAATATTTTATTTGTTCAACCCTAGTAGATACATAATTTCAGTATTTCTAACATAAATGTTAGACAAATAGTTGATAATTTATAAGTCTATTATATGTTAAATATAATAAGAAAAACATACCTGATAGTAAAACCAACATTTCACATGAACTGGCATTTCATGAAAGAAGACATGCAAATGGATAATAAAGCAATCCCATTAGTAATTTAAAAATCTCTGTATATAAAAGCCTAAGCGACCTTTCTGACCTAACTACCAGAATGACTGGAATGACCGGTTGACCAGTCACTGACACGCACTGACCACGAGGGGGCAGATGCTCAATGCAGGAGCTGCCCCCTGGTGGTCAGTGTGCTCCCACAGACAACCTCCTGCAGCCAGCCAACCTCCCACAGTCCTTCCCCTGGCCAGCCCTGATCACCAGCCAGGCCTAGGGACCCCACCTGTGCATGAATTTGTGCACCGGGCCTCTAGTTGAAAAATAAAAAAAGAATGAGACACCATTTTTGTGACCAGTTAAATGTCTGAGAAGAATGATAATAGCAAATATTAAATCGATAAATGGGCATTTTGATGTGTTGCTAGTGGGAATGTCAATAGGCACAACCTTTTTAAGGGCATTTGGTATCAAACATTCTAAAAAATGTGTATACCTACTAATTCTATTTCAAGGTATTTAACTTACAGATGTAACAATAGATGGTATTTTGGTGTATGTGTAAGGAGGGTAATTACACTGTGGCATAGTTTATAATGGTGGAAAATTAGAAACAACCTATGTAGCCAACTATAGATGATTAGCTAAATTATAGAACATCTGTGCCAAGTAATACCATGTGTTATAAAAAGATGCATTGTAGCCCTGGCCAGTGTAACTCAGTTGGTTGGAGCAGGGGTCCTCAAACTACGGCCCATGGGCC